CCGAGTACGCTTGATTCTTTTTTTCTTTTTTTTCGGCCAATGGAACCCATCGCGCGTTATTACACGCGTCTCTGGCGAGTCTTTTTTTTAATCCTTCTTCTACCCCACTCTCTTTGACGATCCCTGTTCTCGCGTACGCGACTCACGCCGGTTAACATCGGTTCCCAAACTCCGAAACGATTCTTCATATATACGCGAGCAATATATCCTCGAAATTTACCGCTTTGTCAATTGTTTCTCAACCGAATCCAAACGTTTCTCCGGTCGGCCAGTTGCGTTGGCAGCTGACTGCGGACCGTAACGAGTGACCAAAAACCGTAATACAATAATTCGTCGTTTTCTTTTTCTCTTGAACTCGTCGGCACGAGTATATCACTGGATAGAAACGATTGAGAAGCAATAAATTTATTTGTTTCGTCTGAGTTCTACTTTGTAATATATTCAAAATTGAGAAAAAGGATTCTCGTGTCGAATTGTATTTATTTCCATCTTTTTTCTGTTCTAATAACACGGCGGAGCTCTTTCGACAGCAGGGGGACAAAAATTTCGAAGAGCGACGTGGCAAACGAAAGGAGAAAACGAAACGGAGCGTATTTACGGGAACTACTCGACTACGTTTCGCTTCCTTTTCGTCTCTCTGCCGCCTGTAACCATACACCCACTGCCTCGTGCTAACGGGAGAGAGGAGGATACATATCCCACTGTCTCTCTCATACTTTGAAAGCCATCTGGCGCTGAAGCGGCACGCGCTGTGAAACCAGCAAGCCGGTCGGTTTCCCTTCCACCCACTTCACAGCCGGTGATCTACTCTCTCTCCCTCCCCCTTTGCCGCCCTCGAGCGCAAACCCTCATTCAAATCCAGCTACTCGGTCGAGTCTGACCATACCGCGACCGTCATCCCTTCCCTGCCACTTTAATGAGAGCGCCGCGCGTTTAGACGAGGCGAAACTTTATGAACTTTATGGGAGAGGTGAGAACCGAAACCGACCGCGAAACGAAGTTGCGATTTATTCAGTCGTTGACTCTGTAAATAATTCCACCGCGCGGAACATTTGAATATCCGAATAGTCGGCGGTGATTTTCGCTTTTGACTTTGGACTTTTTTCTCTTCGGACGCGGAGAAACAAAGCGGAAAAGACAATGGGAACGAATTTGGTTTGGACACGATCGAACACAATATTAATCAAAAGTGCTCGAACGACTCGATCCTCTCTATCGATCAGAGACACAGGAGTGAAAATTTCGCCCGGTTTCAACAGCGGGCCGCGATTGTTGTTTAGTTCAACTGATCTACGATAAAGTGATCGACATAGGACTGAACGTCGTCGGTGTTGCGTAAGAAGCAACATTTAATAAATAATTAACCGTAACGCAACGGAGGCGTCGGTAATCACTGTCGAAATTCCAATGCAATGTAATTAATCTCGTGACGCGGAACAGAGAATCCAGAGAGAAAGGGGAGAGGGTGATACTTGTGGTTATTAAAATTGATCGACTCGGAAGAGTATCGCTAAATTAAAACACGTCCGCGAGTACAAGTGGAAACAACGAATGTTCGCGGATAACAACAAGGCGAAGCAGGAAGGAGCGAGTTTCCTGAGCGTATAATAGCGAGTGGGACGAAGTTGCGCGTGCAACACGACGCTGCGTTTGCTAATCGGTAACAAGGCTGGTTGAGAAGCGAAGGAGAAGTCGTCACGCGGCCAAAAACAACTCAAGACGAAAGAGAGAGAGAGAGAGAGAGAGAGAGAGAGAAGCAGCAAAGTTAGATCCCCGAGTCAGAGAACCCAACAGGCGGCTGTCTGTCGAGCAAAATCAATGCGTGCCGGCGACAGGGAACTTTCCCCTCTCGTGCTTCTTCTTCCCTCGTGGCACGCTATCCTCTTCCATACCGTGACCAACCCTCTTCACCCTCGCGTGTCCTTCTCCAACGACCGTACCCTCTTCTCTTTCCATCTTTCGTTTCGTTTCGTTTCGTTTCGCTCCCTGCTGCAAAACTACGGATACACAAACGCGGCTGGTCATGTGCTCACCCTCCGCCGCTTCAATCCGCCGTGTTCACGTTCGCATTCGCGTTACGGTTCCTACTTTCTGTTCACCATCGTTAACTAACTAAGCTGCTAGCTATTTTTTTTTTAACCTTGAACGAACGGAGGGCGATCAACTCCCTTTCATTCCTCATCGAACGCGATCTCTAGGAAACATTGAATATTCACAGCTTAGTTTTCTCTCCGCGACGGAAGCGAGAAGAACGGAGAGAGAGCTAAGCTGTCGCGGAACTTGCTAGTGGAAAAACGTCGAATTCACGGGAGTTATCATATTTCGAAAAGTTTAGGATCGATCGAGGACGAGAAGACAGAGTCTACGAACGGTTGAATTTTACACGCGAAAGATGGATTGGCGAGATAAAGATATATGATTTTTCCGATTGTTTCGCAAAGACGTAAACTACAATGTTGCTCGAAGTAATACACGAGCTGGCCGTGAGAGGTGGACAGAGCTACTCCCATCGCCAGTCGGTTGTTAATTATTAACATGGGCCGACAGAGGGACCGCGCACGCACGCACGCACCCACACACATACACATACATCGCGTGTGGAGTAACGCGCCGATATATAACACAGCGTTAATCCGCGACCCATCAAAATGTAAATATCACCGCGGTTACTGGATGGAGGACGACTGACTTTGCGGGAGAGACATTAGAAATTCTACGACCGATTATCATGTTCGAGAGGATTTTTTTTTCTTTTTTTTTTTTTAAAGGCGAGCGTGACATTGAAAAGAAAAAAAGAAAACAGACACGAGCGCATGTCATTTAAGAATAAGCAAAGCGGGATCGCTTAAATCGAGACTTGGCACCGATTTCGCGGTGGAGGATGTGCGCCAAAATCGAGCCTTTTGGCTGCGCGCCTGCCGAGAATACGTGAGCAACCCCGATGTAGAACTTCGAGCGACAAGGAGCGAGGAAAGCAGTCGATAACGTTGATATCGATTCCCAAAGGAAGAGGAAAACGTGCTCTTCGCCTCTCTCCCTCTGATTGCTCTCCCCAGTGAGAGCAAAGGAAGGTCGCAAAGGATAGAACTTCTCTTTCTCTCTCTCTCTCTATATATATATACATATACATGAAATACACACGCACACGTACGATCCTATCCCCTTCTTCTTTTTTTATTTATTTATCTTTCTATACCTTTTCCGTGTACGCTCTCTATTTCCTCTCTTTAACACACACAGCTATAAGTAGCAAGCTAATGTCCTGTCTCTGTACGTTCTCCAGTCGTTGACGAGGACAGGGTCGGTTTTCTAATTCGAATTTAGGTGTTGGACGTGGGCGCAATGCGGTGTCACGCTGCGGGCGTTCGCTCTTTCTCCTACAATCCCTCTCCTTTCTCCTTTACTCTTGCCACCCCCTGTCGCTATCAACGACCACCACCACCGACCAGTCCACCAAACCACCGCGTTAAGTCCTTTTAACATCACCTACTTCCTTCAAGCCAGATCGATCGACCTTAATCGACATTTTGATCTCGGTGATCGTGTAAGAGACGTCACTTTCTTTTTAACTTTGTGCTCGATAATTACACTTTCAATTGCGAATCGTTGGGAAACGATCGGTTGACTTTTCATATACACTGAGAAATGTAACGACCGATCGTTTAACCGAGAAAGTTCGAGCAAATTTTTGCGAATTACATCTAGCGTTGTCAGACGATATTATCGCGATTTTGCGTTGAAATCGTCGAGAATTTTAACAACATGTAAAAAGCTGGCATGCGCAATGACGGTGTTCACACGATCGTGAAACGCGTGCTTGAAGAAACTTACCTTTTTAGTATGAAAGCACGTGTATATGGTTTTGGCAAGTCGAAACGATAAAAAGGAAAGACAGTAAAATGGGCGTTAGTAAAAGGACTAAACTGAAAAATAACTTCACTCAGCAAGCTATTTTTCATTGAGAAATTATACATACTATTAACGTTTAGATATTTTAGAAATTTGCTTGAAAATCTTATTGAAAAATCTTCTTCTATGTTTCATTCTTTCTTTTCTTCTAAGATTCGATATTTTTAATAACACTGATCGAATAACGGAAGAAATCTGTCTGATGAAAACGAGTTCTCTATGCAAAACGGATCAAAAGTTATCCCACAAATATATCTTCTTTCTCTACCATATATCTCATGTTTAATTTTTGATAAGTGACTTAAAAATTGCGATATGTCTTGCTAATATTTACTTGGCTGTATTCGAAGTAAATGAATAAAAAAGGAATAAACTTCACTCGAATTCATCATCAGAATTTTTCTTGGATGATTCTCAACTGTCAATATTTTTTTAAGAGCTCTACTCACGTCTCATCCACATACCCCTTTCACAACGACTGTCCTCGCGTCTTCAATACGTCATGTCTTTGTTCAAATATGTATATGCACGTATATATGTGTCCGCGAGCATATCTCTTATCTCTTAAAATTTTATCTGCATGAAATAGTGCTTGGAAATACACTCGTTGCTTTAATTTTAGCAAAATTAGCATCCAATGAAAAAAATTCAACAATTACGAAGGAAAGAATAAAAATACATATATACATATACATAACATAGGGCCTAAGGTATTTAATTCGAATAACTCAGGGGCAATTGCTTATGCATGAGATAAATGTTCCAACATAAACGTGTTCGGCAAATGTTTGACTATACAATATTTTTCGTTATCTAAGAACACTGCGTGCTTCATCTTTGTATACATACATATATAAATGTGCACACGTAAGATTATAAACGAAAAGAGGAAAAAAAGAACGCAGAGTAAATAAGAGGTATTTTAGATTTCTTAATGTGTACGTTTCATCACTTCCCCATTCCCTTCAAACGAGAAGTTCAGCTACAAGTTCGTAATGTAAAGTTTGCCGTGTACATTTTGTTCAATTAAAACTTCCGTTGGAAAGATGTTATTCCGTGTGAAACGAGGACAGAAAATATTTTCTACTTACCTTGTTCCTTCTCTGGAACTTTCACCGGAACCTTCTTTTCCGGCGCCTTTGGCGAACAGTTTTTCCGTACAGGTTTAACCGTTAACGTCGACGGGACCTACGGGAACACACACGGAACGTTTAAAGCATATTGATAAATTATTCATCCAGTGATACTACATACTGTAGTTTATAAAACGTGATTATCAGAAAGTGACTCACCACCTTCTCGGATCTTTCGCCGGATGGTAATCTCGCAACAGCTGCATCAGGGCTATCTTCTGGCGGCGGAGGTTGCACTATCCAATTGTATTCGCGTTTTTCAACGGGCAAGCCCCATCGTTCGTATTCAAGGCTTTGTGTGCGCAGTGTTTCGTAACAGTCTAAACAGACTACGGCGAAATCCCCGTTTTCCAATAACAGGCTCTTTTCCGGTTGCCTGTGATACCTCAGGAAAGGGAAATCCTTCACGAGCAATGCTCTGACTCGTTTCCTGTACGTCGTAATACCGCAAACGTAACAGCAATAATCATGCGTGTTGTACTGCCTTTCCGCGGCATTCACTTGCTGACCACTGGGAAGAGATTCGAATCGACGCCACTGCGCCAAAAGAGAATGATAACAAAACGTGCATACTAGCGCAGAACCATCCTCCCGAAGTTGCTCGGCGTTCGGCGGTGATTGATGACGTAACAATTCGGGGAAAAACGGCGCGTTACGACCCTGAGGGCGACCGTACAACACTCTTGCGAGAGTTAAATCACTATGCAAGCCACATAAGAAACAATATATGGAACTGCTCGATGTGCCTGGATTACTACCAAATGTTCGATCTGAACTAGAACTCGGTGGGGTGGCGATTGATCGGTTCACATCGCCGTTTGGATGTGGACTAGGAATATCATACCTAAGAAAGAAAAAAAAAAAAAAAAAAGAAGAAA